GGGGGCTATAGGCAACATCAAAGAAACGGTGTTGGAACCTTAATTTGCAAATATCGTCAATAAAGGGCTTTTAGCTTTTCTTGTTCAACCAACTTTTAGACTCACATACAAAAATCCGAGCAGAATAAACGGTGTGATTTTCCGCGGACACATGAATGTGAACGAGCAATAGCAGCGATTTCCCATTGTCAACAAATAAGAATGTTCTGTTATTATACTTTATAAAGTATTGATTTTAGTTTTTGTATGAGTTTTACGGCACTTGCAACACAATAAGATCATATAAGTGCCGACGATTAGAGGTGTTACAAGAGAGTAACAAACATAAAAAGAAGTAGAAGAGAAGTGGAAGATAGATGTTTGATAGGAAGGATGGAGAAAACCACACTAGACTACCCGTCAACCACCCACATACAGCAAACATGTAATTGTATGTTTGAAACCGTCACGTCGATTTTTATCTATCTTAAAAAAAAATATTATAAAGTTTTGTCGTTCTGCTTACCTCGATCACTTTTGCTGTATTTATAAGATATTAATATTATATAGTATAATGATATTGAACGGTTTCTCCTTATCAGGAAACGCTGAAATGGCAGCAGAAGTGGCTCTGCACATAGACTTGTCCACTTCGTCGGATGCTGCCGTCAAGTTCACCGACTACATCTACCTCACACAGGTAATCACGCGAGGATTTTTTTTTAACTTCCATTTCTTTTTCTATTTTGAACAGCAGGAGATATTTCGTATATTTTGTCAAGCTTTGGAAAGAAAGCTGTCAAGGTTTCCCAAAACGTGTGGCTCATTCGTCGCTGGTTTATCGCCTCAAATGTCTCTGGGATTTTAGTGGTTTACAGTCAAAGCACTGTAATAAGACAGCCACACAATGCCGAGGGGAAAAGGGGCCGTATTAGACAGGTGGCTGTCTTACGCAGTGCCATTTAAATGTAAAAAACCCAACCCAACCAAACAATACGCATGGGAGGAAAAGGGAAATGGCCGTTGGTACAGGTGTTTATCTGATACAGGTGGTCGTTTGTACAGGTGATTGTCTTCTACAGGTGGCCGTTTGTACAGGTGATTGTCTTATACAGGAGTCCGTTTGTACAGGTGATTGTCTTATACAGGAGCCCGTTTGAACAGATGGTTGTCTTATACATATGGCCGTTTGTACTGGTGATTGTCTTATACAGGTGGTCGTTTGTTCAGGTGGTTGTCTTATACAAGTGGCCGTTAGGACAAGTGATTGTCTTATACAGGAGGCCGTTAGAGCTGGTTCGACTTTGCTTTCCCGTCAGAGGATACAACTCCCTTCCTCCTTAGGTTCCATCAAAGACGTGTGCACGTAGACCACGCACAGGTCGTAGCCAGCCGCTTTTCCTCTCTAACAAAACTTTGCTGCGAAGAGTGCACACTGCAGGCCGTGCCATTACACCCAAATAATATAGAGCAAAACACTAGGGTTACTCAATATAGTCGAGTTCTCCCAGCATCTTCACCCTATGCCCTTTATCCGTTTCAAATAAAGTCAAATGGCACTCTCCGCGGGGAGCCGGAAATGTTTCAGATTGTACAGTCTAGGATAATATGATAAGACAAGTCTATGGGTTGTATCACTTTTTATCAAGTATCTCCGACTGTCTCCTGAGACAGTGTATCCCACCCAGAGCCGCACTGAACCTGGACTGTCTCGAAAATAGTTCTCAGTTGTGTCAGTAATGAGGCACACTTCCTGACACAGAATGACACCCTACAAAACAGATACAATTTTATGTATCCTCAAATCTATCATGCCTATTTTGTAATGCATCTAAATTGTATGGATAGAGACGGACAATTTTTCACACAAAATTATAATGTTCTTAAGTCCCCATTGGCTCGTAAAATTGGACATGTGGAGTTATTGGTATCAGTTCAAAGCCACTTCATATGGCTTGCTTTCAATTAATAAATTCCCACCTATCTTGAATAGAAGTCCAGATATTTGTTACTGAAGGAGGCCGGGGTCACCTGGTTTCAGATGTAAAATTAATGAGAAAATGACCGTCAAAGTTTGGTGACTTCCGTAGCTTGAGAGTCTTGGAAACTGAAAATTTACATTCTCTTTGTCCGCAAGCAACGTTATCTGTAAATCCCACACAGAAGTGTGTTATTTAATAGACACCAAAGGTGTTGAGCCAAAAAAAACCAAAATTCGATAAAAATTGCTATATCGGAAAAAAAAGTACAGAAAATCCGGTTTTTCGATTTCATTATTTTGACGAGCGCCTGATTTTACCACGATGCCTCACATATCATTATGCCTCCTCAGATCAACCAGGCCATGTCCATGCGTACCCAGAGCGAGCACTACCGGCGCTACCAGTCCAGACTTCTCTCTGACGGCCGGGGACTCACCATGGGCGCCCTCTACTGGCAGCTCAATGACATCTGGCAGGCGCCCACCTGGGCCTCGATTGGTGGGTTTCTCACATTATTGCCAGCTTTTTTTTTATTTTCCGCATGCTACGTATCCCATGGACAGGTAGAAAAACAAATGAATTCTTGGTTGAAGCAAATTGTAGAAGACAGCTTATGGCAAATAATATAAGAAAGCGACAGGCAAATTTCTTCGGACGCACAATGCAGAAAGAAGCATTGGAGAATATTGTAACAACAGGCAAGTTTGATGGAAAGAGAGGCAGAGGCAGACAGAGGGAAAAGATACTGGGCAAGATGACAACATGGCTATGAGCAACAAGAACAACAGACACCATTGCTGCAACGCAAGACAAGAGTGAAGTGGAGGTCCATGATCGCCCACGCCAGTCGGCAAGGCACCGGATGATGATGATGATGATGGCTTTTCTTTTCATATTGAATTTTCATAAGAGTAATACTTACTTTACTTACATGTACTTTACTTTGTCCGCCCTCTTGTACCTCTTGGGCGTCGAAGGTAGAAAGAGCTTTCTGTCTCTAGCAAGTTTGATTGTCAGGCTGGGTGGGATATTGTATGTTCTCAGAGTATCACTGAGAGTAATGTGTAATTTAATTTCTATGTATACCTGCATGTGTTTTTACGGTCTCGTACAGCCAAGAAATATTTCCCTCTGGGACAATAAAGTATTATCTTATTTTAACTTTAATGTTATACTGCTTTCAGATTAAGGAGGTGCTGGTGGTAATAATATACGTCTAAAACTTTTGAGATAACTGTTTAACTTTCTCGGGTTAGTTCACCCAGAAACATCGTAATACGTAAATCGCTGCTCTCGCTGACAGCTATCGCCAAATCTGTCATTGACATGTTTGGGTATAGGCCTATGTTCGATCGTGTGTGTGTGTGTGTGTGTGTGTGTGTGTGTGTGTGTGTGTGTGTGTGTGTGTGTGTGTGTGTGAGAGAGAGAGAGAGAGAGAGAAAGAGAGTGTGTGTGTCTGTGAGTGTGTGTGAGTGTCTGTGCATTTTGGGATGTATTTGTGTGTGTTTGCAATGTGTGTCAAGTTAGTTGTGCGTAGTATTCTGCGTGCATTAGTGAGCATGTATCTGTCTGCACATAAGTTAATCTATTCATAATATTATGCAAATTAATTTGTTTTGAGAACAACACTTTTGTGCAAACTTCGACACCTTAGTGGAATACAAAAACGAATTTTTGAAAAAGTGGGGGTGGGGGGGGGGGGGGTGATGTTGGGTTTTTTTTCGAAGAAGTCGCAATAATGTTACCTCCAGAAACGGATTGTCTCTTGATTTGCAGGATGCTCAAAACTAAACAACAAACAAAAACAAAACTCAAATGCGCAAAATACTTTCGAACCCCCCTTCCTCAGACTACGAGGGCCGCTGGAAGATGCTACATTACTACGCCCAGCACTTTTTCCAGCCGACCCTGGTGTCTCCGTACCTACAGGACAACAACACTCTGAACGTCTACATGGTCGTGGATGGGGTCCCCAGTCTGGAGCGACGGGACAATGTGACAGGTCTTTACTTTTCCTCCAGATTCGTTTTTTGTTTCAATATTTGTTTTTCTCTTTTTTCTTTAACACATACAAACAAAGACGCACCCTATCCCTCCCCCCCCCCTCCACCACTTTTTTCTACCTCACCCACATACTCACACTCATACACACATACATTCATACATACACACACGCACACACACACACACACACACACACACACACACACACACACACACACACATACACAAACGCATACACACAAACACACACACACGTGCACGCACTTTTCTACCCCACATTCACGCACCATGTTGCAAGTCATTACGTTTGTCAACCTCTGAAAAATTCTAAAGAAGGAAGATAAAACTGAGGTCGAACAATTTGCTTTAAACTGCTGACGGTATGTTTAAGAATAGCCTACTTTTAATCTCTATATAATGTCATACACTCCTCTCCTTTTATTTTTCTGCGTTGCATCTGTCCTCACGTAAAGAAGAGCCAAACAAAAAACGTTACGCATTGATACCCCCCCCCCAAAAAAAAAAAAGAAAGAAAAAAATAGGACCAAATAACCAGCGTCAGGGGTGGAGCGCTTAGATGCTTCGTTCTCGCACAGATGAGACCTGGGTTCGATTTCCGAATGGGCAACCAATTTTTACCGAGTATCTCAGTCTCTCTGCTGGGATATATGTTCCTCTAAAACTGGGTTGGCCCTGACAGGCACGGTCGGAAGCCCGCCTCCTAAACGATTTAAATTGTGTCCTTGGGGGCGTAAAAACACTAATATTATATTTTTAAAAAGATCATTACTGTCCGGTTACCTCACACTACACACTCATTTGACCTTATGCGATTGCGAGCGCCGAAAGACTCTCACTAAACTAAGGTAAACCCTCCACTTTCTCTCCTTAAAATGTTAAAGGCGCACTGAGATTTGAACCAATGAGCGATATGAACAACATCAAGAAACACAGTATACCTGCGTAGGGCCGTTGAAAGTCACCTTTAGCTCAGACGTATCCCGTCTAGTAAATATCTAAATTGTATCGATGGGTGCGTAAAAACGCTTACATATTTCTAGAAATTATTACTGACCGGTTATCTCAAGTCCACTTTCTCTCGCCCTAGGTGAGCTGAGATTTGAACCCATGAGCGATATTGACGACATCAAGAAGAGCAGTGTACCCGCACCAGACGTCTCCGATACCTTGGCAGCCATTAACAAAGCGACTTCCGGTCGTTTGACCTTGACCATGTACAACTACGCCAGTTTCACTCCCCTCAAGTCCTGGAATGTAGACTATTCGGTACGTCTTTTTTCCGTTTGACATACATGTACATTTGTAATTCATTTGCTTTCTGATATTTTAAAAAGCGTGTAGTGTGAAAATTGTGTTGTTGTAAAAAAGGCTACTACTACTACTACTACTACTACTACTACTACTACTACTACTACTACTACTATCAATAATAATGATAATAATAATAATAAATAAATAAATAAATATTTATATTATAGTAAAGAAGGCCCAGCCTATACTGGAGTAAGTCACCTCACAAAGAATGGGCTTCATTATTGGTGTCTGTGCCAAAGTTGAATAGCAAAGTGTTTTGTGTGGTTGTTTTTTAAAAATCGGTTTATGTTTAAAAAACTATTGTCATTTTCAGTCATTTTTAACCCTCAGCATTTCCTGTTTCCTTTGCAATAGTTACTTTCATCCTTTCAGAGAGAGAGAGAGAGAGAGAGAGAGAGAGAGAGAGGGGGGGGGGGAGAGGGAGAGAGAGAGGGAGAGAGAGGGAGGGAGAGAGAGAGAGAGAGAGAGAGATAGAGGGATGGTGGGAGGAGAGACAGAGCCTAGAGAGAGAGAAAGACAACGTTGTGGCAAATTTGAATCAGAAACAATTTGTATATTTCATTGTATGCATGCAGTTGTCCGTCTTTCAAAAGTGCAGGGAAGAAGCAAGATAGACAGACAGACGGAAAGACAGACAAACAGACATACGGACAGACAGGGAAAATAACAATGTCATAGTGCTTTCTGGCGAGTCAATCTTTCTACTAAACTTTAATAAACTTTGTGTGACACTGCGGTGAAATCAGGCGCTTGGGTGTATGGGGTTATTGGTATCTTCTTAAAGCTTGTTCATTTGTCTGGCTTTCTATTTCTAAAAATATCCTTTTATCTTGGTTACAAGTCGAGATATTACCAATTGAAGGAGGTGGGAGTCACCTGCTTTCAGATGTCAAATTTGCAAGAAAATGGCCGCCCCATTTGAATAATTTGATTAATTTCTTTAGCTTAAAAAGTCCGTGGAAACTGAAAATTTACATTGTTTGTGCCTTTGATTAACGTTTTTCAGCAAAACCCACAGAGAGATGTGTTTTTTAATGGACACGAAAGGTGTTGAGCCAAAAAGCAAAAAATCGACAAAAATTCCCAAACCTGTGGGGAAAATGCCAGTTTCTTCACTTTCATTATTTTGACGAGCGCCTGATTTCACCACGCTGCCTTATTTTTCAAGGCCTCAATCTCCCTATTTTCCTATTATTGTTCATTTATTTCTTCAGATCAACACTACAGCAGACTCTGTGTACACAGCCAGTGTGAGCCAGCTAGTGAGTGAGGCTAACTGTGCATCCAGGGACAACTGTTTCCTCCACTTCTCCACAGCAGACAAAAATAACGCCGTGACCTCCACCACTTGGCTCTTCCTCTCCTACCCCAAGTATTCCAACTTGCCTCGAGCTCAAATTAAGGTGAGTAGTGGGACGCTAAATGTTAAAAACAATCAGGAAACGACAAATGCAGTTTTTGGGACACATAAATAGACATAAGGGTCTTGAACACCTAGCTCTCACTGGCAAAATTGAGAGCAAGCGAGGCAGTGGAAGGCTCAGAACAACATACTTGGGGAACCTAAACAAATGGGTAAGAGGGAAAGATCAGGGAAACGTGGCTTTTTTTTAGAACATCCGAGCAAAGGAATGAATAGCGAACCATGATTGCGGATGTCTGTCGCAGATCTGGCACTGGATGATGATGAGTCAACAATTTGGGGCGTTTTTTTATGAGTTTGCTTGTTCTGGGGTTTTATTTTTTCTCTGGCTCCGAAGGACTTCGTTCTGAGATTCTGTGGACATTATGCGTCTTGCCTTGGTCAGTGTAATACTAATTTTAGAGGGGTAGGTGGAAAGAGAAAGAGCTAGAGAGAGAGAGAGAGAGAGAGAGAGAGAGAGAGAGAGAGGGGGGGGGGAGAAAGAGAGAGAGATACAGGGAGAGAGAGAGAGAGAGAGAGCGAGAGAGAGAGAGAGCGGAGAGAGAGTGTGGAGAGGGAGAGAGATAGAGACAGCTAGAGAGACAGCGAGAGAGAGAGAGAGAAAGAGAGAGAGAGAGAGAGAGAGAGAGAGAGAGATAGAGAGCGAAAAGGGGATGGAGAAAACGAGAGAAAAATACAGGGAGAGAGAGAGAGAGAGAGAGAGAGAGAGAGAGAGAGAGAGAGAGAGAGAGAGAGAGAGAGAGAGAGAGAGAGAGAGAAAGAGAAATCTGGGGTAACACAATTATTTGTATTATTTCATTAATTACTTATGCCATCAATAAAGATTGAGAAGATTAGATCAGCGGTACTTAAAAAAAAGTACTTGCAACCTTTTTGTGGAATACCTTGCGGCTCTCAGTTGGTTTCATGCTGGACTACAGAGTGGGTGGCTCAGGTTCGAATCCCAACTTGGATTTTCTTGCACTCAGGTCATTTTGTGGAGTTTTCAAGGATATCAACCCATTTGGCTCGATTTGGTTCCGCCTCTAAAATAACCTAAAAGTGTTGATAGAGGCGGTAAATCCATACACTGACTTATTTGTGAAATACTTGATGCGGTCCAGGCTCACACAGACTCACCATACGGTGGCCGGCCCCTGGGTAAGCTTAGTTTGAGACTTTTGATCTACATACTGGGGTCGCTAGTGGCTAAGTGAGTAGTGAGTTTAGACTTAATAGTGAAGTCAAGCATGTGTCAGTGATGGGTGGACACTGGGGTCTGTTCTTGAGCAATACACGACAACCCTAGCTATAAAAACAACCCAGAACGTTGCACAGTGGCGACCAGCAATGTCATGGTTTTGACATTGTTCTGTATTGGTGAAATATTGTGTATTTATGTACGTATATAATAATAATTATATATGTATTTGTGTATGTATTTATACTCTAAGGTATCGAATAAAAAAAGGGAGTGGGTAAGAATAAAGTTGGGGGGGGGGGGGGGGTCACAAATGATCAAAAATTTAAAAACGGGGGAGGAGGGGGGTGGGGGGTGGGGGGTGGGGGGTTGGAATTTAAAAAAAAGGGGGGGGGGTGGCACATTAGATACTTTACGGTAATTATATATTTATGTTTGTTTATATATTGCAGTTGTAAACCAAAACTGCTCTTCCGAAATTTAAAAAAATGTAATTTTTATTTTTAAAAAAAATTATTGACAACAAAAACGCAAAAACTATCTCTGATCTCTCTACAGGTTGTCGCAGTCAGGAATATTTCCCCACAAGTTTTCGAAGTGGACATCTCCTCTGATGCTTTTGCCCTCTACGTTTGGCTGTCTGCTGGGGACGTCCTTGGCAGGTTCTCTGATAACGGCTTTCACCTTCACACCCCGACAGCAACGGTCAAGTTCTATGCCGCGAACGATGTGACAGCTGCCAAGCTGCAAGAAAATCTAAAAGTGAAAAGTTTGTCAGATGTCCAATAGGGTGGATATGATCGTAATAGAGTGGTGTTCCTTTAAACCGAACACGGTTGACCAGGAAACAGCAGTACAAGAAAATTGAAAGAAAGAAAATCATCGGGGTTTTTTGGTTTGTTTTATTTTTGTTTGTTCTGGTTTTTTAAAAGTTGTTTTGTTTTTGCTTTTGTTTGTTTGTTTGTTTGTTTATTTGTTTGTTGTTGTTGGTTTTTAAAAATATTTTTTTCTGGGGAGGGGTATTTTTTTTTTGGGGGGGGGGGTCATCTTGCCTCAAATAAGACGAGTGCACCGTTGACTCAGTTGGCATCATGCCGCACTACAGACTGGATAGTCCGGGTTCGAATCCTCAAAAGGGTGTTCCTAACTCGGATTGTTTCGGTACATGTTTAAGATTCAGTCCTATCGGAGATGGACGTTGCATATGGAGGTCCCGCCCCTTAGATGACCTCAGATTGTTGAGAGGCGCCCGCCTCCTAAATGTGTCGAAGGAGTAGTGAAAACGCCAACATTGACAAAACTTGAAAGGGACATAAAACTTACACAATGACACGCTGACCCAAGGTCTCAAATAGGACAGAGCCGAGCAGGCAGAGTGCTTTGAAAGCTGCTGAAGCAACCCAAGATTACAAACAACTCATTGGGCGTGGATTCAATCCAGACCATCTGCACCACATTTTCAAGCATATTCATTTGTAAACTTCAGAGAAGTCGCAATTTTAAAATGGGGCGTAAAATCCAAGATGGTCGCCAATATTATGGTTTTCAATATTATGGCGGCCATCTTGGATTTACATTTTTTTTTGGGGGGGGGGGGGTATCATTTTCTTTCTCAATTCAAACCTGCTTGGCCAAACTCTAAGTCTGTACTTGTCTAAATAACGATTTTAGCCCCATCCTGGGACCCCTGCAATTAATTATACACTGTTTATATGAATTATTTAATATTTTAGGGTGGCGATGGTGGCCTATTATAGGCTAGGCAACCGGACACGTAACCTTGTGACGAAACCTTGTGATTGCGGGCTCGGGAGCTCGAGCTTCAGCTCGATCCGACGCTGTGTCCTTGGGAAAGGAACTGTACGCGAATTTCCCGTTTGGCTCGGTCCTTTCGGGGATGGACGTTAAACACGCATCAATCTAAAAGTGTTGGTAGGGGCGTTAAACCTTTACCAGTTTCATTAAGAAAATATTGTGGACACAACATTTTGAAAAGACCCCATCTCTGCAGACCCCAGTTCTGGGATCAAATCATCAAGTGATCGGACACAAAAAATATGAATAATACACGTGACAACGTTGTGTTTGTGATGTAAGTCGTTTAATACGTTATTGCAATGTGAAAATAAGTACGAAGCATTTAACACCAAAGTATCTTTTCGTTATGATACGCACTGGGCATTCCTCAATTGCGTTATCCGTCTTTTAATATTAATACTACGTTATACGCAAAATGTATTTAAATAATGAATAATAGTAAGATGACAGACTGAAGGACATTTTTCGGCAAATTTCCAACTATCATACACACATCAGAAACATGGTTGAATATTTCATAGAATGCGAGTAGTTTCTGTCTTTTCTAGGTTTTAGATAAAGAAAATAGAACTGGATAACGTGAATGAATAAATAGCGAGGTTATGCTTATCTTTTAACTCCCCCCCCCCCCAACAAAAACAAAACTAACAAACAAACAAACAAAAACAGAAAACAAACAAACAAACCAAACAACAAACCCAGTGCGTCTTTAAATCAATGACCAGAATGCATGTACTCAATGAGTTAATGTGATTAACATTCTATGTACACTAAAGCTCTTCAAAACAGAAATTATTGTGGGACTTATGTTGGTTTTATATTTTGTTAAACCTATTTTGTTAAAACGTTCTATAACAGAGCCACATTTCGTTGCTAAGAAGAAAATCTGGTTTTTAAACACGTAAATGAATGAAACACCATATACGATAATGCTGACAAAACACAACTTCATGCTATACAAATAACATTATCTTGCCTGGTAGCTTCACAGATTTAGTCAGCGGCATTATACTGTACACAGGATATAGATCTAGATGAAAAAGGAAATATGTGAGGCATGATGGTGAAATCAGGCGATCGTCAAACTTTTTAAAAATCCAAGAAACCAGCATTTTCCGCTGGCTTGACAATAATTTATCGAATTTTTTTTGGGCTCAGCATCGTTTATGTCCATTTTGAACTGAGTGGATTTTTACTGAACAACGTTGATTAAACTCACAAAAACGTAAATTTTCAGTTCCCAAGGACTCTCAAGCCATAGAAATTATGAAACTTTGTCAGTCTTTCTCTTAGTCTACCTCTGAAACCTGGCGACCCCTTTAATCACAAATATCTCGCCTTCTATCCAAGACAGATGTGTGTTTGGTTCTCAATGAAAGCAAGACAAATGAACAAGCTTTAAAAAAAGATATCGAAAACTCCATAGTATGCTGAAACATCGACGAGCGCCTGATTCCGCGCGTCGTGACACATAATAATATGCAGACGACAGGAAAGAAATCAGACGCAGCGTCAACGAATTGTTACCGCTAATGTAGTCATGTCATGTTTTCCACGACGTGCCTGTTTTTAATCCCTCATTGACACAATTTAGACCATTTTAAAAAGCCGGGCCAACCCTGCCTGTCAGGGCCAACTCAGACCCAGGGGGACTTTACAGCATCCAAACAAGAAGACCGAGACACTCGATTAAGATTGTCCCCACTCGGGAATCAAACTCGTGTCTCCTGCGTTCCACAGCGAAGAACCAAACCGCCACACCACAGGGTAGGTAGGTCTAGATCTATATGATTCGATCGACCGTGAAATTTTCAGGATGGTGGGTGGGGGGGGGGGGGGGGGGTGGTGAGGGTGAGGGTGAAGAATTTTTGGAGTCGAAGAAACGATAAGACAGATTATAATATTATTTTATGACACGAACACTTGACACACATAAAATACATTTAAATACAGACAGTGGTTAAAAGAGCACGACCTACAAAGAGGATAATAGGCAAATGAACAATCAGCTTCGATATTTTCACATTAGTCATTTCAGTTAACAAGGCTGCCAGTAAAGAGAAGAGGAAAAAAACAACAAAACAAACAAACAAAACAAAATAAAGCAGAAAAAAACAAGGGTAAGGATGTGGAATAAAAAAGGAGCGGGCTGGGAGTGTACTTGAAGTTCTGGTGAAAATGATCTTTTTCTTCAAATTCTCTTCTCATTAATGCATATGAGGCAGATTGGATTATCTTTCAACTAAATTGTGTGACCTTTGAAATGCATAATATAATCTCTTTATATTTTTCAGGAAATTTCCCTGGCGCAAACTATCTAAATGTGGGATGGTAGGTGCATGGGCTACGTTTTGAGTTTTCCTTTATAATAATCTATAACTTGCAGGTAAACATAGTAATAATATTGTAGTACGCTTTTTTCACAAGCTTGACACAGGTATATCAACAAGTCAGTGTCGTCCTTTCCCTACCCCCACACCCCCACACCCAACCCTCAACCCTTTTCGCTTTCCTCTTTTTATTGTCTTCTGGTTACAAGATCCAGAAAACATGAAAGATAAATATAAAGATACAAAGATCACGGGAATAGGAATAGGAGAGAGAAGAAGAGCGGGGAAAATGAACGTACGTGTGTGTATTGTTTTGAAGGGGGATGCTCGTGTGTGTGTGTGTGTATGTGTGTGTATGTGTGTGTATGTGTGTGTATTTGTGTATGTGTGTATATCAGTATATGTGTGTGTGTGGTGTGTATGTATGTGTGTGTGTGTGTTTTAGGTAGGGAGTATGTCCGTCTATCAGTTTGTACGTCTGTCCACCCACCTGTCCATCCATCTGTCCATCCGTCCTTCCTCCAGTTCGTTTGTCTATCCACCCACCCGTCTGTCCTTTCGTCCACCCGTCTGCCTGTCTGTTTGTCTGTCTGCCTGTCTGTCCGTCTGTCGGTAGTGTGCGTGGGGGGTGGAAGTGGAGGTGGGGTGAAATCAATCTGTTTCTCAGAGATGTAAGACATTGTTGTCGTGTTTTTTCCGTACCTTAACAACAGTGGTTTCTAGTGCTCCCTGAATGTTAAAACAACGAACATTCATTAAAATGCCTAACCCATGAACAGAGTCAGGACAAATGCATAGCCGATGAAGAGAGGAAATTCAAGGAAATGCGTAACCCATGTACATATAACTCATGTACATATAACCCATGAACAGAGGAAATTCAAGGAAATGGATAGTCCATGAACAGAGGAATTTCAAGGATATGCATAGCCCACGAATAGGGAAACTCCGTTAAATTAATACATGACCAAATCCTTGAACATGACCCATGATCAAAACCGGATTTTCCCAGTGAAAAACTGTCCAAATTTTCTCTCAGTGGGACTTTTTAAATATATACATGTAGTTCAGCTGTTGTTGTTGTTTTGTTTTTGTTCGCTGTGACTTGTCCGTTCGTAGACAGGTAACGTTTTCTGCCCGTTTCTGAACACATTGTGGTAGTGCCAACATTTTAACAAGCTAAAAGGAAGCACTGATATGTGTCTACCTCAGGTTTACAAAGTTCTATCTGCTCAGTTCCTAGTTGAGAGAAATTTGACATAAAAATATTGAGTTTCACAACACGTCAAGCTTTTAAAAAAAAAAATGCAATTCATTGAATATCTTGATGACGACTCCGAAAGATCTTACGAGATTGCTACAGCAGATAGGAAATTTGGTTTTTGAGCTCATGGTCTTAAAAACTCAAACCGGCCAAAATGTCAGATGCAACTTTGTAATTGTAAGATATTGCTATCTACGAATATATTTTCCTTTTCAATCTTTAAGGGCTATCAAACCTATAATTGTTCTATGGTAAACAGCGTCAGCGAAACCAAAATAGTACTGCATTCGGGTAGGATTTGACCTGCAAGTCACACAATTATTTTTAGAGCAGCCTTTTCCAGGCGCAACGATTGGTCCCAAGAGGCTGGGAAGATTCTGGTTTAGAGAATGGGGTGGGGGTGGGGGTGTTTAAAAACATTCTCGTGTTTCAGGTACGTGTATTCCTTTTCACATATCCGTCCCGAGCCATTTTTCGGGATGAGTTATATATATATATATATATAGCCCTGGCTCTCACAACATGGTGTGGCCTTTATGAAAAAAGGGGGGTAATTGAACTGCGATACTTCTTGCAGTTCATGTTTGTTGTAATCGTCTCGTCTGTACCAGTAGTTTGAAATGTATGTGCGTCAATGGCTATATTATAATTTCTAGTTTACTTGCGTCTTCTCAGTGTTGAGATTAGGTATCTTGTGGCTGATCTTGCGGCGGCTTCTCCAGGATGTCAAAGAGGTGCACCTTGTCATAATACGTGTCTTGGTGTGCGCCCACTTTGGGCGGGCTGAGGTCACCCTTCGTTGTGCTGGAGAAAGCGGAGGTCGGGTGTGGTTGTCTCCTCCTTCTCCTCCTCCTCCTTCTCCTCCTCTGGCGACGGAATCTTCTGTCCATCAGCCACTCTCGCTGGAAGAGGTCTCTCTGCTCGGGTGCAAACTCCGCGTGAGTTGTTCCTCTCCCGCTCGCCTCCGCCAGGTTCTTCTTCCCGCTCTCGAAGTTCGGACCGAGCTCAAGGGGAGTTAAGCTCCGGTCTGGATCCCTGGATTCTGCTGTATCTGTGGTTACTTCCCTTGATTTAGAGTAGGCGGCGCTAGGGCTAATTCGATTCTTCCTCTTCTTCTTATTCCTCCTCCGCCTCCTCTTTCTTTCTTTCTTCAATCGACGTTGCCTCCGTCTCTCTTTGCGAAGAGCTCGTTTGATGCCCAGGTCTTCCTCTCTCCGATCTGTTTGCAAGGAAGCGGTTATGTCGTCATCCAGGTCAATGATCTCAGCGGCCCGGGCGGGGGCGGGAATGAGCTTGGGTTGACGCCTGTATTCTTCCTCTACGTCATCTTCTTCTGCTGGTTGAGAGGCCTCGTCCTCGACTAGAATCGTATTGATCTGAAAAAGAAAGAGAAACACAAAAACAGACTTATTACTGAAATTATTAGTAATAAACTACTGCCATCAAGATTATTCAGTACCTAAACAATAGTGGTTTCCTGTGCTTTCTGAATTCTTCAAGAAAAGACATTCAATTAAATACTTACTTACTTACTTTCTACATATACCATCAGGTACATACGGCGGAATTCAATTCAATGAACAGAGAAAATTCAATGACATGAATTGCCTTTCAATAGGATAATTTCTATCTAATGTATTCTTCGTCCGTCTTATCTTCTCTTGCGTGTTGCGAGGCCTCATTTTCGATCCCAATCGTGAAGATATTATAATAATACAAAAACAAATACAAAAACAAAACTGAAAACAGATTTATCGCTGAAACTATTTGACATTTTACGAATTTTACTCGAACCACGCCAAGTTCAGAAGCACTTTGGCGTTGAGTAAAACACAATGCTATGTACGCATGCTTGTTCCAAAGCTTCAAAATTGTGTTGGTCTAAAAATCAAAACAGAAAATTGTGGGTGATTGGCAGGTGCTTCAGTGTGGTTTGCTCCTTTTTTCCTAGTGAAACATAATACACGTCCGCAGCTGTCCTATTTCTTTTCCGTGTATGTAACACATCTAATCGTCGGCACTTATAAGATTTATTTGTTTTGTAAGTGCTGTTAAACCCTTAATAAGACAAAAACACAACACTGATTTATTACAGAAATTGATTATTTCGCGTGTAATGAATTCTTTGGTTAAAAAAAGTTTCGTGCCGATTTACAATTGGGTGATCATGTACTCTTTCTGTCTTTATTCAAATTTCAGCTAGGGGCCTGCACAAAATGCTGTAGCTTTTAGGATTGCTTATTTTGTAGCTCTTATCAACAGACACACACACACACACACACACACACACACACACACACACACACACACACATACATACATACACACACACACACACACACGCAAGCGCAAACACACACAAAACAAACAAACAAACACGTATATGTACATACACACTTACTGACATGAACAGATCTATTCATAACAAGTAGCTCACAAAGAACAGCGCTATCTGGATCTTTAACAAATCGTGCGAACGACGTCTGTGGTGTAGTTATTATACGGGTGTCCATGTGGGGGATCGGGGCGGTTTGCTAGCCAGATTGAGGGCGTAAAGGAGCTATCGTGGCACAAACGATAGCGCCCGACTCCTCGCCTAAAAAACAAACGCATTTGTTTTCAGACGACGAGTCGGGCGATCAACTCGACCCAACCCGGTCCTATCCCGTCAGCAATGGCATCCGGTATTAAGCTCTTCGCCATTTTACCCAAAAAGACGTGAATTCTATTTCTCAGAGGCGTCTTGACTTATCAAGTATTCCCGCCTTTCGGCAGGAATGCTGTTTCCCAATCAGCTGCAGTTAGCCCAAAAACATAGGGTCGCAATATAGAGCTACCGACTCCTAAAATACCTAAACCGTTTTGATTGAGACGTTAAACATTAAAATTGTTCATTAAAAAAAAGTAAATTAATCACGTGACCTATCCCATTGAGGCGGCTGGGGAGCCCGGAGCTGGTGGTGTCATCCTCTGACGTCATACATGCTGTTTCCTAATCAACTACAGCTAGCCCAAAAACATAGGATCTACCGACTCCTAAAATACCTAAACTGTTTTTATTTGTGGTGTAAAACGTTAAAATTGTTCAAGGAAAAAAGTAAATTAATCACGTGACCTACCCCATTGAGGCGGCTGGGGAGCCCAGAGGTGGTGGTGTCATCCTCTGACGTCATACACCGCGTCTCGCACTCCTCGGCCGTGCGGAAGTTGTTGGAGTTCCCGCCACAGCCGCTAGGGGAGAAAACAATCAAAAGTAGTTGTTGTTTAGTTTTCATAAGAGTTTTACGGCACTTGCAATACAATAAAGTCATATAAGTGCCGAAGATTAGTAAGACAATGGTGAAAATGTACAGGTTTGACCCTCCTATCAACACTGTCATGTTAGGTTATTCAAGAGGCGGGCCCTCCGAGTTTTAACGTCCATCTCCGAAAGGACTGTGCCAAGTGGAAAATTCGGGTAACGAAGATTAGAAGTGTTATTAGCAAGTTACAGACACAAAAAGGAGGAGGGAAGATAAGGGCGATAGATGTTTGCTAGGGAAAAAGGAGAAAACCACACCAGAGCACCCCCCAACCACCCATAAAAGTAATTTAGGTGGGTAAAAGAGAATATAATAACAATAATGTAGCATCATGGTGAAAACGCCCCTGTAGGTGGGGGGGCCACATAGTTTTACTATGGGGGAGTAAAGAATACATCTGCCGTGACACTTCGTGTCGTAAGAGGCGACTAAAGGTGCATAGGTCTGGCCACCCGAAAAGTGACAGTTTGCGGAGGGCCAACTACCCGAACCAGTAAAAAGGGAAGGTTATAGAAACACGATCAAACAAGTCTTATAATTTTTCCATCTTGGGAGACGGAGGAGCTTCTGCATCAACAGGAACAATGAAGGGCAGCGGACAAAGCCGAGATCAAGCGACTATCCAAGGATAGGGAAAGGTGGAGAGTGTTTGTTCGTGGACTATATCCTGACCCAGGGTGAGAAAGGCAATGATCATGATGGTGAAATCAAGCGCTCGTCAAAAATATTTAAATCAGTTAAAAACACCAGCATTCAAAAAGCAAAGCAGAAATCTATACTCTGACGATTTATTTGACGCGAAGACCTTGTTGTTGATACGCAACCTTATTTGGCAAAACATTGTAATACCTATTTAAAAGTGTGGCCGTTTTGTATCATACTGAATTTGTTGAGCGTCTCCATAGACACACTTTTTATCATTAGTAACATTTTATCAGAATGTCTAGACTTCGGAAAGACCCGAAGGAAATATTTTAGCCGCAAAAAATTGCAAGATCTGTTTTCCGTCGATGATCCCAACAGAATCCTTGATTTTAGAAAGGCCAGTGGAAAGTTGTGAAAAACGTTAACATTTTTAATGTTATTTAAAAAGATATTTTAGATCAAGAGTCTATTGACATCAAATTTTTAGTATTTTCAACATTTTAATAGAAATATTGACCAAAACCAGGCTGTGCGGTGAATTGTTGCGAATAAAGCCAATTTTTTTCGCGCGCTGATATAACCTTATGCAGTTGCGAGCACCGTAAATCTCTTACTAAAACAAAACATCGACCCAATTCAGGTCATCTAAGAGACAGACTGCTTCGACCCTGCTAGTCTGGGCCTACCCTGGTTGAGAGATATATAATGTCCAGGTAGAATGTCGCTGTAACTTGACCAAAATTCTCTCTCCATATGAGACTCGAACTCAAGTATTCCCTGTGAGATGGTTAAGCGCCTAATAGCTACATCTCAGACAGGTTGCTGGTTAGACGTCTTAAACTATCGAAATTTTTAAAGTGGCTGTTTAAAGAAAAAACAGAGACTTGCTTTTACAGGCTTTATTTTTGAGCATTTTGGTTCGGAGATTGAAACAATCTGGTAACCACGACCTTCGACGCTCCCAATTTAATGTCAGTGAACTCAGGTGCAAATTAAATAAGTTTCACCAAACTTTGGCGACCATTTTCTGGCTAATTTCATCTTTGACACCAGGCGTCCCCCACATCCTTCAATCCCAAATATCTCGATTCTATTCAATAATGTTTCACCAAAAGCAAGACAAAAGCTCGAGCTGTAAGTGTAAGATGATACCCATAACTCCATTTGCCAAAAAAACACAAAACAATTGACGAGCGTCTGACTCCATCGGGTCATAACACAAAGATTCGAAATGCTATAATAAGAAAATAATAATAAATACAAAGAATACTTTACACAAAATCTGAGCAATTCTGAAGATGATAAGAAAACCATTACAGATTTCCCTGAAGCAGTGTTTGACATAATTTTTATGGATACACAGCTAGCGTCTGACACCTACTGTAATAATTCAATGACATGGAAACCACATGGTTTTAATTTCAGTCAGAGTAAAAAGTACTTGCAACACAAATGGGTCACATATTAATAACGAAGATTAAGGAGTTATTACGGAGTAACAAACACAAAAAAGAAGGAGACATAAGGATGATAGATATTGGATAGTAAAGAAAAAGACCCCCCCCCCCCCACGCAAAAAAGAAAAGAAAAAAAGAAAAGAAAAGAAGGAGCAAACTACATCAGAGCACCCACCAATCACCCACGTAACCACGCAAGTCCCAGCGAGTACCCACCTGTAAGTGAACCAGCTACAGGCGCCCATGTGCACATTGAAATACCAACGCACGAAGCGGGCGCCGCATTTCCCTGGCTGTGGCGCTCGTCTGCAGATGCTGGATTTCACTGAGGAAGAAAAATAAGTTTAATAATAATAATAATAGATAGCATTTGTATAGCGCATATCCCCGCTCATCAGCAGGCTCTATGCGCTTTACACTATATTAGAATGTCAATGGGAAGGCAAAAGAAATGGACGTTTCACAGAAAATATAAAACAATTTGGAGATGTTGTACAGTGAACAAAAAAAAATAATTGAAGGTTTTTTCTGAGAATGAAACACAGTTTGAAGGTTTCAACGAAAACGGAAAAAATTTTGAAAAAATGAAGATTTCAATATGGAAGAAAAAAAAGAAGAGTTCACAGAGAACGAAAACAGTTTGCAAGATTTTAATAGGAAAGAAAAAGCAGTTGAAGATTCGACTCAAATGATGCAATCCACAGTGAACCGGAAATACACATGAGTGCACAATCTAGGATGTCATAATATTATCATAAGTCTATGGGTTGTGTTTTCTTCCATATTATGAGGTTCAATCTCCAACTCACCGATAAGATGCTTCTCGTGAACGCACACCGGGAACTTCATGGCTCGCGGCCACTCAATAGACTGTAGAGCACACACTTTCTTTGTGGGGCAGATCAGTTTGTAAGCCTGCGAACAAAAAGTGTACATTCATTGTTTAAGTTTTAGGAAGAGTTTTCCATTAAAACAAGGACTAGCCTAGGTATAGCAGAATGTGCAACGGCAGCTGGCCCCAGTGAAGGATGGAGGGTCATTACACGTCAATACCTGAGTCAGAGATGACACCTCCAGGCATTCCAGGTAAGAGTTTTACGGCACTTGCAACGCAATTAGGTCATATAAGTGCCGACGATTAAATGTGTTTCAAGAAAGTACCAAATACACAAAAAGTGGACATAAGGACAATTGATATTTAACGCTAACCTTCCACACAGCTAATTTGGAGAAGGTCGAAGAATAAAGGGTCAAAGTCACATTGAGCTAAAAATAGTGTTAATTGTTTCCTCATATGCAAGTGAGACTACACAACAAAGCGTCTGAATGAAATTACTGGACGGGTTTATAGCAGGACTATGGTCGTTATACGAGTTACCCAAACTCGGTAGTATATCATGCTTAAGTCCTGCTATCTTTTGCAATTTTCTCCAAACGACCTCAAGGAGGCTTGGACTTCCAATTTGTCTATCTCCTTTTACATAGTTTTTCAGTTCAAATATACCCATAACCAATTCAAATGCCGCATAGAAAGACCAAATTAATTACACCTAACAAATCTAAATATACAAAAGACATCATAAAAAGTCCTAATACAGCAATAGCAAGTTCAAATGTAAACATAGAAATCTCAAATGTAACACATAGCAAATTCAAATGCCACTTCGCAATTTCAAGTGTAAATATGCTTGAACAGAAGAAAAAGGAGGCTAAACGTTGGTCTACAAGAAGTGTACCAAGGTAAGAAGAAAAAGTTAGATGTAAGCCGTGTGGTGCCACAAGGAAGAAATCACGTGAAACGAAACTAACTGTTAATTTTTCTTAACCCGAAAATAAACCCACATTTTAAAACAGAAATGAATGGTTTTGATAAAATTCAACAACATGCTAGAGTATGGAGAACAAACTGAGTGAAACCTAAAGCCAAGTTTAATTTTAATTACTTATTGTTGCACAACAAAACACTGTGGCATAATATAGGCTTGCGTTGATATGAAGACTGCTGCTATTTTCACTTTTGTCACAGCTTGGGTTTTTTGTTCCATCAATTGGGAAAGTGTTACCATCCTTTGTTATTAGGTTATTTAAGGAGTAGGACCTCCGAGATCAACGTCTATCCCGGAAAGGACCAATCTGAACGGGACAATTGTGTAAAGTACCTTTCCCAAGGACACAACGCGGGGACCGAACTGAAGCTCGAACCCCCGAACCCGAATCTCACGATTGCAAGTCCGATAGCTTAACCACAAGGCTACCCGCGCCACTAACTCTTATTTCCAAAATTAAGAAACGTTTTCACAGATGGGACAAGGTATGCAAGTGGCAAGATATTTCACCTCGAGTCTATTTGACGAAAGGAAAATGTTAAACGAAGCTAAAAAGTAATGAAAATAAAAAAGAAAATGTGAGGCAGCAAGGTGGAATCAGGCCCTCGTCAAAATAATTAAAATTGAAGAAACGCGCATTTTTTCCGCAGGTTTGTTAATTTTTATCAAATTTATGTTTTTTGGCCCAACACCTTTCATGCACATTAAGAACTCATTTCTATGTGGACTTTTCTGAAAAACGTTAATTAACGGCACAAGAAATGTAAATTTTCAATTTTCACGGACTCTTAAACTAAGGAAATACCTAATCTTTGGCGGCCATTTTCTCACTAATTTTACCTCTGAAAACAGGTGACCCCCACCTCCTTCTTTGGCAAATATCTCGACTTGAATTCAATATAAATGGACATTTTTCCCCCTCCAAATAAAGACAAGTGAACAAGCTTTAAGATGATACCAATATTTCTACATGCCCAAAAAATGACGAGGGCCTGATTCCACCACGCTGCCTCACAAATGAAAATAAACAAGTTCAAACAAAAAATAATGGTCATGATAAAAATCTACAACTGCTCATCATATATATAAGGTTATAAATAATTTGAGGAAATGTAAGGCCAAGTTTACTTATATTTACACAAAATACTATTGCACTACAAGACACTTCGGCTTAGGCTAGCATTGGTGATCTGAAGGCTGCTGCCATAGTCACTCTAATCACGGCTTCGTATTTTTGTTCCATCATCTGGGCAAGTGTGGAAATCCTCTGTTGATGAGTCAGCTGAGTGAGTATTTGGTGTTTGCTTCACCGAGCCTCGGTTTCAAATCGTATTTCCAAATTCACAAGCGTTCTCATTGATGTTCAGAAAGGTGTGTAGGGGGGGAGGGGAGTTATTTCACCCCCAATTTATTGGCAAGTTGCCATTTAAAGCTATCCTTTGTGCACAAGCGTTGTTACATACGAAGCATACTTTGTTGTGTGGATTGTTGGAACAGTGTCTTAGAGGGATGGGTTGAAATGATAGCTGCCATTCCTTCTACTTGAAAGTCGTGAAAGATCAGGCCACCCTTGTCACTGACAGCAAATGTCATCGTGCTGTTCGGTCCCCTTCGACCCTGCACTACTCGAACAAAGCACTGACCACTGTGTACGCTTCCTCGGTTACTTTTCGTTGACAGCTTGATACCAGTCTCATCGATGAAAGCAAATTTATACCGCTAAATGTTCTGCATTAGCCAAAATGCATATTACTGATATTTGGTTGCTTCAGTCCTATCAGAATTTCTTTCAGCGGGAGCATCCTCGGGATTTTTTATGGTGATCAATTCATCCTAAAATTAAACAGCTTATGGTTGTCGTCAACTCAGTTTGATCACATTAAAAATGCTTCTCACGCGGAATGATTTTTGTGGATTATATTTGGTTGTGATATGTGGCATTTGAACTTGCTATTGTGTTACATTTGGATTTACTATTTGTACATTTGCACTTGCTACGCACTATCGTGCACTAAAATTTCCTATTGTACATTTGAAGTTTCTATGTGGCGTGAAACTTTCTATGTAGCATTTGTATTTCTTATGTGTACATTTGATCTAAAAAAAACTATTATACATATGATTTGCTAGAAAGGAGAATCTGTGCATCCTTTTGTTTGACAGAAAATCGCGCCTGCGTGCACGTACACACACACACACACACACACACACACACACATACACACACACACACACACACACACACACACGCACGCACACACACACACACACACACACACACACACACACACACACATTAAGGCCCTGCACTACCCACTCATGCAGTGTATCAATTTAAAGCTAAATACATTCTGCATCATCTGAATCATTAATAATAATATTTCATTATATTATGTTAAATAAAAGATAGGGTCACTCAAACCTGACCTTAAAAAATTGGGCTGGGCAAAATTGACGGAAGAAGATGAGGAGAAAGGAAATAACAAAATAAGTTTCGTATAGCTTTCCCAAGTAACTGCTACATTACATAAAATCAGAATGAGCAATTTCAGCCTTCGCAATTAAACAGAAGGATGTAAAATTCTCTCTTACAGATAACTATGTATGTCGGTGTTTGTTTGGATCTGTGTGTCAGTGCATTGTGGCCTGAGGGGCAGATAAGACATAAGAACATGGAACTGATAAAAACCTATGACTGCATGAGTGGGTGTATGGTTATTTTGTGTGTCTGTGCGTCGTTGTATTTGTGTGTTTGAATGATCGTCAGAGAGAGAGAGAGAGAGGGAGAGAGAGAGCGAGAGAGAGAGAGAGAGAGAGAGAGAGAGAGAGAGAGAGAGAGAGAGAGATAACTATGACACGGGCAACACAAAGAGTGTCGAAGATTACAGGTTTTACTACAGGGTAATACAGGGGGCCCATTCTGGATTAGATCGAGTCGGGTCGGGCCGATCGGGCGATCGGTTTGTGTCACGATAGCCGCTTTGAGCCCTCAATATGGCTTGCAAACCGACCCGACCCGACCCGACCCGATCGTGCGAATGGGCACCCGGTATAACGTACAAAGAAAAGAAGGAGCAGAGATAAGGGCATGTTTCATAAGGGGAAAAAAGGAACAAAGCAAACCGGAACAGCCCCCAATCATCCACTCGGAGAAGAATAAACATTCAGACAAGCAAGCCTGAAGAGAAATGAAAGGCAGGATGACCACAATATTTTTTAGGAATAAAACTGTTTGCTTTAAGAGCAAAGAAAACCGGCGTCATGGGTGCAGCGGTAAGGCGCTTCGCCATAACATTCAGAGCGCCCAAGTTCGATTTTCATGAAGAAAATTAATAACGAGAATCTCCTACCATCTGCTGAGATCTTGTATCCCTCTCAACTCGGATTGACCTTTACAGGCATGGTCGAAGCCCGCCTCCTAAATGATCTAAATAGTGTCGACGGGGGTGTAAAAAGTTTTGAAAATCCGCCTACGTTTTTTAAAAAGAGCAAAGAAAGCATGCAGACAAGAAACCCTCCACATAGCTCTGCTCGTATCCATTTCCCCCAATGAAACTGGCCGAAAGAGCTCCCATTCCAAGTGGCATAGCTTCTGGTTTATGCCATTTTTACCACTGCTGAAAGGGACTTTTCGTTTATATGTCCACCTGAATTATAAGCTTATTGTGCGTGCTGGTCCATGCTCTTTTTTGTTAAACAAATTTACAAGCGGGCCTCGGTTTGCTAGGAAAATAATGGCGATCGTGTTTTGCTGGCTTTGGTGAGGATGATATTAAAGGAGAGGTAAGCCCTCTGCATGGGGAGTTTTTGTATTTTTTTGCGTAAAGCGAATATTGAGTTCACGACTACGTGGCGGGTGTGTTTGTGTGTATGTGTGTTTGTTTGTGCGTATGTTTGTTTGTGTGTGTTTGTTTGTATGTGTGTCTGTGTGTATGTATGTTTGTGTGTATGAGTTGGAGTGTGTCTGGCTGAGTGTATGAGTTTATGTTTGTTAGTGTGTTTCTGTGTGTTTCTGTGTGTCTGTGTTGTGTTTGTGTGTATGTGTGTATATTATGTATGTTTGCTTGTGTGTGTGTGTCTATGTGTGTG